ACTTTAAGGGGTGCTGCTATGTGAAAATTTTACGAAAAAACTAATGGAGCCACTTTTAGAGCCTCAAAGTTTTGTATAAACGGAGTTAAAAGCGTTTAAAGTTTCCGAATTTTGTCCGACCTCTCCTACTGACTCGATCCTCTGTGCGACGGGGAACCGCAACCGCCGTTCCATTCCCGGCCAGACTTGTGTCTCCTCTTTTGTTAGTTCATTAAAAATCAAGACTCAAACACACAATGAGCGGTGCCGCCGATTGGGATGAGACTGACATTTTCTAAGACGTTCCTTCAAACTTCCTTGAATTAAAAATTCCTTCTGCATGCCACGCTGTTAGCAAATTAATAATAAATGCATGTATCGCAGGGAAATAGTGAAATCAGGCATTTTGTGAAATGACTAGGCAGATAGTTAAATTTTGACGGTCTAAAACTTTTGGCAAAGAGCTTACGATTTTTTTTACTTTTTTTTGGAATAACTCATCAAATACCTGCGACCTCTTTTCGGCTCTTCGTCTTCAATCGCTTCTCATATTTTTAAATGTTGAAATTCTAAAAATGCTGTATTTTATGACATGTTGAAACTTTAAAAATAAGTGTCAGTTCAGGAGCTAAAAACCGATCAAGATACTATTGTATGGTACCGATTTTCACTTAAAATTTTCTCTTGTGGGAGCAATGATCTAAAATTACGAAATGCATTAAAATTTCAATCTAAGTTAAAATATTTGACAATTTGCCTGGATATTTGACCAAATGCCTGATTTTACTATTTGCCTGCGACAGATGCATGAGTTGATGAGATGATAATTCGATCTTCAAAATGAGACCAAGAACAGATATCGAGGTTGCTTCGTATTGTAATGGCACAGCATCGGACCACTTATTTTTGGGACACCCAATGTAGTTCTAAATCCAATTCAGCCAAGACTGTGGCCTCTCCTTTGGAAGGATTTAGTTTTGGCAACTAGAGACCAGAGGCGGATCCAGCAATTTGGCAACACCGGGTTGCCTCCATTTAAACTATGTTAAATAATCGATTCTTGTTGGAGCACCTGGTCCCTCTAAGAATCGATAAATTTCCATAGGTTTAAATGGAGAAAAACATCGTTGCCAATTTGCTTTATCCGCCAATGCTTGAGACTAATTTAAAACCATAAAATTTACGTGAATAAATTGTTTATTAATTGTGTTTCCACCTTGCCTTTTCTCTATTCCATTCTTTTTTCTTTTTTTTCCTAAAAATTTTCTTACTTTTTTTTTAGGATTTTTTGGCATTTATTTTCTTTTTTTCTTTTCTTCCTATATTTCAGGTTTCTCTTTCTTTTTTCCTATTGTTCTTTTCCCTTTTTTCTCTCTCTTCTCCCTCTTAAAGTTACAATAATGTAGAAAAAATTCAGCTATCCTCCATGAGAACCTATACCATAGTATTCCTTTTCCTCTTTCATTCCATCCTATTCAATGGCGAGGTGTGACTGGTCGATTATAGATACTTCCCCATTTGAAGCTATGGTAAAGAATCGATTTTTAAAATGTTCGTCGCGAACACCCTGTTTATCGATCCTTTTCCATTGACATAAGTGGCAGATCAATCGATACGTCGCAAAGCACGCCACGCCAACTGATCCTGTCCTTAACCGCTTTTTGTGAGTGTATAAGAAGATCCCCTAAAGGATTTCTAATCAAATAAGAATTCAGGAGTATCGAGAACTTTCAACCTAAGTGATTAACATAGAAGGAACAAATTGCAAGCTTTAAAAGTTTGATCTATTATTGATTGTAAATTATAAAAACCAAATTAGGTTTAGTTAGTAAACTCCAAACATTGTAAGTCTCTCTTTCAACTTGCATACAGTTATTTTCGCAATATTTTTAATTAAAATAAATATTTTCTTTCCAAATGTTTTCTTCTCTAAATGTGTTACAAAGTTAAATATCTTTTAAGATCTTGATTATTAAGTTCAAAACTTGAACCCACAATCAAATAAATTGCAATAATAAATTAAGTTTTAGTTTATGAAGGGGGACTAGAGAGTGTAAGCCTCAACTAACGTCCTAAATGTTTGGCATCAGAGGGAAAAATAATAATTCAAGTCCACAAAATGTTGCTATCGACATTGCTTCTCACTTTTGGAGAAATTCAAGGTCACAAGCAACCCGGTTGTGAGATGAGTCATGGGCTAATATTTTAGCTAAGCGTGAATTGTAGGAAAGTTGCGCCAATAAGCATGATAGTCACGATCCTGGCTCGTGGGAAAAACTAGACGGTATAGGTGGCATCGGTATAGGTGGCATCGGTATAGGTGGCATCGGTATAGGGTACATACGCATTGTGTGCTTGTAGCCTACGTTTCCAGTTGAAGGCGCGCCACTGGAGAATTCTCTAGGTCACGCGTGGAGCAGCGGATACTTTGCACTATTCAGCTGCCCTGTCACGGTCAAAGTGAGGTCTTCAAAGTGAGAAAACTCTTCTTCTTCTTCTTCTTCCTCTTCTTCTTCTTCTTCTTCTTCTTCTTCTTCTTCTCCGTCTTTTCTTTCTCTTTTTCTCTTTCCTCCTCTTACTCTGCCTTTTTGGCCAGGGCTAAAGTACTCTTCATTGCTTTCATTTTGAGAAAATTAATTAATGATCCTTCGCAAAGGAAAAGCATGTTTTCCATTTTATTTTTTTCTCTCCCCCTATTTTCTTTCGTTTTTTATTCCGCACAGACATGAGTACGTATTTAGTGTCAAAACAAGCAAATAGTCATAATTGAGTATTTTCGAACGTAGTTCATTTTTCCCTTTTCTTCCTTCATTTTTTTCCTCATAAAATGCGACTTTTTGAGTAATCTCATGTGAGACTATTGATTTTCAACTACTCAACTGCATGGTAATTTTGAATTCATCTCCGGTGGTAGTGAATTCAAATCTTATTGATGCAACCATACAAAGGGACTTCATCATTTTTCTGCCACGCCTGGAGGGAATTGTGCTTTTTATTTTATCTATCTAATATCGTACTTCTATTTCTTCTTTCATTGCATAATCATTCTACAATTATCTTCATTTATGTTTCGTGTTTTAAAAATTAAATGTGATTTACAGTTTTGTCAGTACCTACAAGCCCAGTAGGTAGACATTAAGAATGCAGCTCCCAGTAAAATATATGCCCATGCCTATTTTCTGGCATAAATCGATTTATCCGATTTTCCATTTTCTGTCGGATTTCATTGATTCTCTCAAATCTCGACTTTGATCGGTTGAAGAATCCATTTAACATCGGCATCACCTACGGCCTACGGCATTTACCGGCTGAAAGTGAATCATATGCGATCGCCTTGCATTGAAATTCCGAACCAAAGTGTTACATTCGGGGGCAACAGTCAAAATTTACATCAGTTACTCTTATTTGGACGTATTTCTGTCAAACGGAACTATGTGAATTAAGACATGAGCCCTAAGACCCACAAGAATATATGCATAACAGGGCTCACGTCATAATGCACATAGTTCCGTTGGAAAGAAATGCGTCCAGTTTGAGGGACCCCTCCTCGATCTTTTGAAGGCAACATCCTGATCTGATAGTGAAGAGAGCAGAAAGTGCATATTTCTGTATGAGCCATGGTTAGCACATGCTTTTATGGGTATGACGGCTGCAATTTCATTCAGCTTCCATGAAAGATGGTCAGAATATGAATATGTTTGCACCAAACTAAGAGGTGATCATAAGAGACTTAAAATTCTTGTTTTACACATTGCGTCGCTTTTATTGACACAAATATGTTCTCAGATCATTGATTTTGCTGACAGCACTGTTTCGAAGTCTAACGACCGATGTTAGCTTGCCGGTGTCCATCATCGTTCATTTTTCTGCCCCCTGCTTTGAGCATTCACCCGGAAATGCGTGAGAAGGGGCCACGCAAAATGACAGTGCGGAAGGCTATGGAAATGCATGTAGTAATGTATTAATTTCATGAGTTGTGTCAAAAAAGGCCTAAAAGGTGGTAGGACTCGATGGATAATTAGGCTCTACCAATTGATCAAATTCACAAAGTAATTACTAGTGGGGAATTCCTGAAGTTTTTGGTAAGACCCCCAAGTTTGCTGTGGGCTTTGTATGGGTAGCGAATGATAGCTGGAACTATCCACCTACCCATAAGCGATCTGATTAGCGCTGATTTGGTGGAGTTATAGGTTATGCTCACTCGGCTAACGAGCGCACATGAAATTTGGACTTTGGTTACTAAAAAGGCTGTAGTTTTTCCTATTTCTATTATTTTTACATGAATAGCATTATTCACCAGAAAATCAAGGCAAGCGCTTTCCTAAAATCGCCCGAAATTCTATGGGCCGGCGTTTTTTTTTACCGGCTTCTCTTTCGAGATCGGGTAAGTTCTCACGGTCGAATCATTTTTGTTGGATTCCTATTGGCTGTAAAAAAAAGTCCCAAGTAGCATTTTCCGAAGAAAAAATTGCTATATTTTATTACATATATTTATTGCTCATAACATCACTAGGGTCATCAACATCTGAGTGATTATCCTCACTTGTTACAATTTTGTCTCAATTTATCATGATTTTTTGTTCGATGATATTGCAATAAAATCGCGATTTCATTGCAAATTCTTGCGATGAAATTGCAATTTCGCGCAATGTATTTATCCACTAATATCGCAATAAATCGATGTGGATAGAAGCGCGATACATTCTCCCATCAAATCGCAACTTTTCGCGATCACTGCTGCTTGGAACGTGTACCCTGCCCATGCCCTCGGGGGGGGGGGGGGTGAAAATACCACGCTTGCGGCATTTCGAAATCACGCCCCGAAAGGTCGCAGGGCAGAAACATATTTCCAAAACGGCTCATAAATTTTTTTAAAAATAAAAGGGGGTAAAAGTAAAAGGGGGTGAAAATACCACGCTTGCGGCATTTCGAAATCACGCCCTGAAAGGTCGCAGGGCAGAAACATACTTCCAAAAAGGCTCATAAATTTTTTTTAAAAATAAAGGCATTCTAGGACTTACCGACAAGAGGCACAAAATCCAAAGCGGAACTTTCAAAAGCTGCGCGGAGCTTCGAGGCACGGGGGCGAGCGGAACGAACGGGCCAGTCTTCGCGCGGGTCGGGACTATGACGGGACGCGAAAAGGTCTCAAAGGATCGTGTGCATCTGTGCAGTGCATTTCCGGCGATGCACCGAGCTTTTGCCTCGTCCCCTCCCCGCCCCGCGCTCCCCCCGCCGGGAGCCGGTGCGTCCGACGCAAAAGCGAGATGCAGTCGCCGAATTAGTTGCAACATCGCATGCGCTTTTCTCCGCGCCAACTCTCTCGCTTTTCTCCCGCCCCCGCCCACTCCTCCCTCTCGGCGTGTGCTATTCTTTGCACAGGCGTTGTACAGGGTCTCCGAAAAGCCCGGAACCCCTCCTCAGCTAGAGTACCTCTATGGGGAGAGTACGGACATGTTGGTAATTTTTACAGTCCCTTCACACTGAGAGTCAAGACAACACCCTCTCATGGAGTCACAAACGGGAATAAAGATTACAGAAATTGAACGTTTTTTGTAATCTTTGATCGGCCCATTCTCAGATTCCTTTCTCCGCTCCTTCTCTCATTCCGTTTGTTCCTTGCCGAACCCGTAATTCCCTGGTCCATTCCAGATCATAATCTTTGGAATCGGTGAAAATGTAATCTTTATTCCCGTTTGTGACACTGTGAAGGCCTGAAACACGGGAACCAATCAGAAATGGATTCACGTTGTCTTGACTCTCAGTATTAAGGGACTCTAGTAATTTTCAGTGTGTTTTGCGATATTTTGATTGTTATGCTATTTAAACCCGTGGAAAAGGATCGATAAACACGGTGTTCGCAGCGAGCACCTTAATAATCGATTCTTTACCGTAGTTTTCAATGGCATAACAATCGATACATCGCAATTCATGCCACGCCACTTGTAATTTTGGAGGTTAGGTCACGGAGCTTTTAGGATCCAAAAAGGCAGCCAGCCTATGAACTCAACTTCTAGAATGATTTATTATTACAATTAATTGAGGAGTTAGGAGGAAATAACGACTCAACCCCGCTAGGGCCGTTTTAGCAGAGAACTACTTGTTAGAGCATACATATTGTCATTATTATCTGGACAAAATTTCAATTTTTTATATATTTTTTTAAAAAAAAATTAAGCTTTTTCTTTCAATTTTTATTTTCTTTTTTCTTAGAAACCCCTTTTTGCATCCCACATAGGTTGAAAGTAATTTTAAAAAAAATTAAGCTTTTTCTTTCAATTTTTTATTTTCTTTTTTCTTAGAAACCCCTTTTTCCATCCCACATAGGTTGAAAGTAATTCTATGGAAAAATAGTTCAAGCATCAGACATTTAAACACAAAATGTTCTTCTCAAATCAGTCGTTCTTTGCAAAAATGGGCAGAGTAGACCTTTTCTATATCTATTATTTCTCATTTCCAGCTATTCCTATCTTCCTGTATTTCAATCAAGCCAACCTAAACTTGAGGATATGACTAACTTTTTTGACCTCCGCCAATGCTGTGCCTAATAATGTAACTGGTACCATAATGGTAAACTCAATCGCTGTTTTTCCTTTATTATGCTTTAATTGAGAGTTATCATTAGAACATTTTGAGATAGACCCACACGAGGGCGCCATCCTGAAACTTGTCTAATGTCTAAAAGTAGATCCAATTGGTCTAAAAGTATTACATAAGATCATTTTATTTTGTAAAAACATGCATGAAAAAGCTTGGTGATGGGTGTCAAATGTAAACTTATCCAAACGTTTTCTGTAGTTCTCCGAAAAATAGAAAAAAAAGTTACCAATTTTCACGTTAATGAACTGGGAATTCCGGGTCAGGGTACAGTGTTCCCGATATCTTTACTGTGCTTGGTGATAAAATTTGGCAAAATTACCGGCAACACAATGAAAATTATAGGAGGAGGTTGAGTTTTCAGAAATTTCTGATAATCGGTGCCTACAATGAATTCCCGATACTATCTCTGTATTCTTTGTGATTTCTATCAATATAACTTGCCCCCAAATGGTACACCTTAAAATTTTCGATACGCCCTAAATAAACTTGCAACTTAACATGACCTTGTCTTCAACATAAACCTGTCCTAGGAACTCCTCCAAAATTTAATTTTTGTAAGAGTAACCGTTTTAAAAAGGGCACGGATGAGCGGGACTATTTAAACACCCTGTATATAAAGTCTTCCTCTCCATTTCCACATCCTCACCATCCCATCTCTGTCAGTCTCAAATTCGCTTTGCCACTGATGCACAACTTTTCTTCTTCTCTCTCTATCTCGCTCTCAAACTTCGGTTCTCTTTAAACTCTATTTCGCGCGCCCCTCCACCCCCCTCCCCCGGTCGGATCTTCCGCGCACACTCTCTCCCTCTTCGGAACCCCACCCCTCGAAGTTTCCCGCGCGTTTATATTTCGGAATCGCCGCTGGCTGGGGGGCAAGGAGNGGGGGGGGGGGGGGGGGGGTCGTTTTCGCAGGTGTAAGGCGAAAGTGAAGCGGGGAAAGTCTTGACTCGGATTTTCAAAATGGAAGGAGGGTGCCGCCGGAGATGAAAACGAAAAGCGGGCTCTTTTGATACGGGGAACGGAGTCGGGGTTAATTTCGCGTTGCTGCCACCGAAGCTGAAAGTAAAATTGGCGCCCTCTGCGCCGCGCACCTGTTTGCTACCCTTGCGGAGGGGATGTTTTTCGCGGAGGGGTTCATTCAATCGGAGGATGGATTCAAATCGGTTGATGACTTGCCATTTTAAGCAATCAATTAGAACACCGGTATTTCGGTTATAGGAAATTTCGTCAACGATTTTTTGTCCGCGCACCTGTTTTTTTCCAGTAATCTACGTCCACGCGTTTTTCGGAACGGCAGTTTTTCTAGGGAAACTAATGGCACATACGTTGTTTTTAAACCGGACCGGAATTTATAGCTCCAAATTGCAAAATGTAGTCCGATTGGCCCACATGTAAATACGAACGACAATTGCTCACGACGTTTTTGGATGAAAAGGTAAAATGTCTTGGAAGAATGAGGGTTTGCTTGTTTTTTTGCTTTGTCTGTTTGGTCCAACGGAGAATAATAAATAGTTAAGAGTTTTGGTAAAAATGGGGGAGCGTCAATTCCATGAGACAAAGTTCACTAAAACTCTCTACACCTCTTTAGTGTAACAGGACTCAATTATGTTTCAAGATTTTCCCACTTTGTTATACTTGAACCGGATAAACCTCTATATTTGCCTCAGCTAAAGGCTCTTAGATTTTTCCAGTGTACGATAAGTATCTTGATTCATTTTGCGAGGAAAGATCTGTACTTTTAAAGGATGCCTGTCATTCTTAATACGTTCAATTTCGTATAATACTGTGCAACATTTCTGATGTGAAATAGTTGCTTCAGGCGCCGCCGCACGGCGGGCGGGGGGCCAGCGCGAAACGCGCATTGGCGCCTACAAACCTAAGTGGATACTTCAAGCATTGTGCAATGCGTGAAGTATCCACTTAGGTTTAAGGGCGCCAGTGAGCCTCTCGCGCTGGCAGCACGCCGCTGAAATATAAGCTTGGACCAAGTCACCGTTGCTTATTTTACGTGTGGGCGTAAACTACTGGACAAAAAAGGTGCGCGGACAAAAAATCGTTGACAAAATGTCCTGAAACCGGTATTTCTGACGAGGTGTAAGCCCTATAACTGAACCGCGTTAGCAGAAAGGAACCAAGCCACATCAGCTATTGCCAAAAAGCCATGCACAAAAAGGGCAAAAAACGGCCCATTTTTGGGCCCTCGAAATTGGGGTCGAAGTGAGGTTTTTTTTCATCCTTAGGGTGACCCTTTACACATACTAAAATTTCAGATTGAGTATACGCACCGCTTTCGAGTTATGGGGGGGCAAAATCCCCGATTTTCACCCATTTTTGCATGTGTTTTAATGTCGAACTCCGGATGTTACGAGGTACCAGATCTAGATATTGAAGCGCGGTTTGCGGTGATTTGTTCAGCTACTCCTGTGGTATTTTTCCATATCTTTCACAAAGCCCCAAATGGTTTTTTGGGGGACGGGGAAGGGGGCTTTATTCATACTATCATGACCGTTAGCGCATCTTATTGACTTTACTTTGCTCTCTTCTCTCCACGCCGCGGTCACGATGGTATTTTCTGTTGGGGATTTTTCTTCTTCTTTACATTTTACCAATTTTAATGTCCTCCCCCTCTCTTCCCCTTTTTATCCCCTCCCCCGCAATCCAAACACTTCCTCTCAAGTGTTCTTCCTGTAAGGCAGATATGACGGGGTCATGTGAGGGGAATTATTTTTCTTTCTTTACGATTGATAAACTTTGACCCAACTTACTTCTCCCTTACAGGGGTAAGGGCCCCCCTTACCCCTGAATTATCCCCCCCCTGCCCGCTATACTTTACATGATGTATTTTGCTCCCTCCGCAGCAAAAATGACGATGTTTCTGGCAAATAATGTTTTACTTATTTTTTGGTAATGAAATACTGAATACATGGGAGCTACCCTCCTACTCTTCTCCATTATTCCCCCTCTTCTTCCTCTTCCCCCTCCCCTCTTGTTCGTCCCTCTTTTGCCTCGTTCTCTTTACTTTTCACTTTTCTTCTACTTTTTACTACTTTTTTGTGGGAGTTATATAGTCACGCGAAGAGAAAGTGGAAGAGAATGTACCTAGGAAAGAATAAATCAAACATAGAAGTTGAAAGAGAAAAGTGAAAAATATGAATAAGAAACAATTCTTCACAGGAAACATCGTCATTTCTGCTGCGGAGGGAGCAAAATACTTCAAGTGAAGTATAGCGGGCAGGGGGGGGGGGATAATACAGGGGTAAGGGGGGCCCTTACCCCTGTAAGGGAGAAGTAAGTTGGGTCAAAGTTTATCAATCGTAAAGAAAGAAAAATAATTCCCCACACATGACCCCGTCATATCTGCCTTACAGGAAGAACACTTGAGAGGAAGTGTTTGGATTGCGGGGGAGGGGATAAAAAGGGGAAGAGAGGGGGAGGACATTAAAATTGGTAAAATGTAAAGAAGAAGAAAAATCTCCAACAGAAAATACCATCGTGACCGCGGCGTGGAGAGAAGAGAGCAAAGTAAAGTCAGTAAGATGCGCTAACGGTCATGATAGTTTGAATAAAGCCCCCCTCCCCATCCCCCAAAAAACCATTTGGGACTTTGTGAAAGATATGGAAAAATACCACAGGAGTAGCTG